AAAGAACTTATATTTAAAACGTCACAAAAAATAAACAACAAGAAAAAAAACGTTACTTTCATGGCCATTGCTTCAAAATTAGACTTGGACTTATAAAATCATACAAATGTTATGTTGCTTAAATAGCCTGAGCATTTTAATTATATTATGTTATGGCAACTTGAAACAATTAATATATATATATATATAACTTTCAATATGTGAACTTATCTGCAAACTTAATATACTGTATGTTGAATATATAACAGAAATGCAAATCACACTTAAAGTTAAATATAAAAGTTTTATAAGCTGTAAGTATTGAACTAGCAATTCATATATATTTCTTTGAATTTGAAAAATTAACTTTCTTATAAGCTCTTACAATAAGTATAGGAACTGGTTAGAAAATTAGCCAATGTATGCAAGGAAAGATTATAAGTGACAGTTATCTGAAAACAACACCAAACGCTCTATAAAACACAGCGTATACTATCAGTTAGTGGCCTAAGTGTGCGAAGAGCTAGGGATTTCGATGAGCCATATTGGATTCGTTTGGAATTTTACTTTCCAATAAAATATACAAAATGTTTCTTGCATTTTATCTTACTCTTAAACAATTAATAATACATGATTAACTTTATTTATTTACCTCTTTTTTTTAGTGGCCATGTGGTCCACGCCTGTGCTGAAAAAGATATCATACCTGACAGGTGTTATAAAAGTTTGACTGCACAGCATAGTGGTAGAGTGGTGGAGGTTCAAAGATGGCGCTATTCATTACAGCCAAGTGTCCAAGTTGGGTTCGTTTCGGATGAAATCTAGCCCACATATATTTACCTAATGAGGGAGTCCATAAGAATTTATAGTAATTATCTTAAAATCAGACAATAATTTGTAATTAGTGAAAAATTAAAGTGGCCACAAAACGACGTTTTTATTAGATTATTTTGATTATCCAATAAAAAACTAGTGTAATATGTCTGTTTGACTGATAATCTCGAACATATATTTGCTAATTTGTGTTTTCTCCAAACACAGATGTTTAGAAGATCCTATCACATTACAATATAAGAATATAATACAGTCAAACTATCTTCGAGTGCTTACTGAAAACTTGTAGATGTGCTATTAATAGATATAGTTATAAAGGGCTATGTCGAGTATATGCCATATTTTTGACAATAAATTTAAAGGAAATTATAAAGATTCGACACGTGTTTTCGGGGAATGGAATAATGGATAAGTGTTGGAGTGGTATCGTTCGATTAGGTTATATATGGATTATACTGATCGGATTTTTAAAAATTAACAGTTGTCAAGGGAATTATGCATCATGGTAACCTTTAATATTCGATGTTGGTGTAAAAACCCGATTGTACATTACGACTAATTTGAAAGTCGACTATCACTAACTTGCCTATTCCCACATAATATTTGAAAACATGCGATCAGCATAAAAAGAAACTCAATAATCTGAGCACTTTCGGAAGGTGGACTATTCTTCATCAGGTGGTAAATATATATATATATCACTTATTAAATGAGAAGAGCATAATTTAGTACACATTACATATTTACAACATAATTAGTCTAGATTGTTTATATTTTAAGGTGTTTGTGACAGTAAAATGGGACTGCTGCCAAACAAATACCCTTAAACACAAGTGCACAAGTAGGCTTAAAAATTTACGAATATTCTTCAATACTAGAAAACAGTTCGTTGTAAGGTTGTTTCTTTTTGTTTGTTTGCCTGGAAATGTAAGAAATAAAACAACACAAATAAAAAAGAAGTTTGATAAGCCTGATGTACGAAATATAATTAAACTATTTTCAATACTACAATAAAGAGCAACATTTCAGTTATTAGAACGTTAAAACAGTATGTTCCACACTCCTAGTACCGTGTATAAACTATCATTTATACCGTTTAAATACAATATATACCAGATTTGTTTATTTCGTTATTCTAGAGCAAATTCACATTTGGCTATCGAACCCCGGATTTTAGTGTAGTAAGTCCGTAAACTTACTGCTGACCCACTGTGGATACTTATGAAAAAAATAAGTCAGAAAAATTACCCGTTACATTTTTGAAGGTGTTGTCAACAGTTGGACCAGTACGATCTACAGGGGTAGGACCAGAGTGAAGAGTCCACACACTGTCTTGCCTTTTCTCACTAACCCAGTTGCACATCCCATCTTCAAAGGTACATCGAGCATCTTTTGGAATTTCATCTTAAGAAAAGGCAGAGCTATAAGTATCTTGAATTTAACATACGATACGGAAATACAGATTCATCTTGATATAAAGAAGCAGCTAGTACAGTATGCATCAATGAACTAAATGTGCTTAATCGTGTTTATCTGAAAAGAAGATTAAAACATATTGTTAACTTAGATTAGTATTCAATAACATTTTATGTATTTTGTTCGTAGTTGACAAGACTAGCTCGTCATATAAATAAGGGGTGACGGGTGTGTGTGTGTGTTTTTAACACTTCACCTTTAAGTTAACTAAAGATGTATTTTGTTCGTAGTTGACAAGACTAGCTCGTCATATAAATAAGGGGTGACGGGTGTGTGTGTGTTTTTGACACTTCACCTTTAAGTTAACTAAAGTACGCTGATAAGAAATTTTCGAGGTAGTTCAAGAAATTTCTCAAATCATCGAAATATCAGAAATACTCAAACATGTGAATTTCATCTCAACTTTGTGCGCAAACAGTCTATTAACTCAGGTGATATAAAGAATCCACGAAATTTACAATTT